TTAAGCTCTAGCCGAACACTTGTAATTTTCTTAACATTTTTTGAAAAGAGGGGTTTGAAAAATAATTAAAATTCTTTTATAATAATTAAAATTCTATATATACGATGATAAGTTTATAAAAATCAACGCGTGGGTCACTTAAAAAGCCTGCCTGGTTCGCCATCATTGGTATAGTATATACAGTATTATATAGTATAGTGAAGTATAAACAACACATTGGTTAAAAAAATATGTTTATAACAGCGGGAAAAAAATTTGAAAATTTTTAACGAGAACATTGAGCTTGTTTTTCTTTTAGATACCAGTTCATCAATACTTAATTTGATGTAGTAACAGTACAAAAAGTATTTTCACTTGCTTGATGAACTAATGATACAATTTACATCTGAAAAAAAGAACCTAATGTTGAACTTCAAGGTCAAACGTTTTCTTCTCTTTTGCTCTTTGTATTCTACATATCTTCAAGCAACTTAATGATTGTGTGGTCTTGAAAAATGGCAAAGAAGTTTCTCAATCATTTATCGTGCTAACAGCGACTTTATGTTCATGAACATGTGAATATCTGTATTACGTAATGTTTATATTTCGAATAATGTGAACAGTTAGCTTTATCATTTGATTGTTCAGACTCGCACTGATGCTACAACTATGATAGATATCAAATGCTGGCGTAATTACGAAAATTACGTGAAATAGACATCCACGCATGGTCCGAGAACCATAAAGTCGCTGTTAGGACGCACTGTCAAATGTCCGCAGTGTTAAATGACTTGCCATTTCCCAAGAGAACTATTCAGGCACCTTCGTCATGAGTAGAGTACAATGCAAAAAAAAAAAAAAAAAAGAAAAACGTTTGACCTTCATTCATCCTTTCATTATATTTCATTTTTGTTTTAACGTTTTAACGAAATTCGCGGCAGATTAGCTGGCGATTCTCTTCGTTTTCACCGGCAATGAGTGGGAGAAAGGAAAAATATGCGAATGTGTTAACGACAACGAGAACGTGACGAGTGTTGTTGTTTGCAGACCAGGAGGCCGAATTCATTCGTGTTGGCTGGGCGACGTGGTGGCCGAGATGGGTGCAACCTGGATCGAAGGAGGGTGCGTGGCGAACCCGGTGTTCACGCTGGCGGCCCAAGAGGGCCTTCTGAAGCCGCCCCTCTTCAGGCCCGATCCGAGCCGCGGACTTTTCTGCACGAGTGACGGCCGCGCTATCGATCTGCCCGTCGGCATCACCGCTTATCACACGTTTCGACAGATCGAGCAACAGGCGGCCACCCTTTTCTCTCTAGGTTCCGGCCGCACCCACGGTACGTTGCTGAATTTCATGGGCGTTCGAATTCAGCAGGAGCTGCACAATTTTCCGGAGGAGCAACGGTACAGTGGTTGCCCAGGTCAACTTTATAACTCGGCGAACTATATGTCGGCGGTGATGTAAACAAGTAACCGCGTCCAGCTTCCTGGTGCAGCTTCGCGGAATTTTATCGTCGCTTCGCAGTCCGCGTGCATAATAATAATAATAATAATAATAATAATAGCTCTCTGACGTCCTTGCACGGGCTGTCGACGCGTGGTAATATCAATTTCACGCCAAAGCGAACGCTTTTTATGTAAGAAAACTTCTCCGAGTAACAGGATCTATTTCCATCAGAGACAAAGTAATAATCAGACATCAGAGGGGAGGAGAAGCGTTGTATTGTTCCGACGTTCAATTTGCACGGTTTATACAGGGTGTCTCGATCGAGCCTACTTGAATGAAATTTGCTCGTTTTTGAGAAAAGAACGTATTTTCGTTTAACGAAGACTTGCTTCTATATTTACCTTTTCCTCCTGTTAATTGTTCTTCTCTGACACATTTACAGTTAGCTAAATTCTTACGTGATTATACTATATTATACTATATTATATTATACTATATTGTACTATATTATAATATAATATAATATTGTACTATATTATGCTATATATGTAGTATATTTATAGTATAATATAATATAGTCAAGTAAGAATTTAGCTAACTGCAAATGTGACAGAAAAGAACAATATTTTACTATATTATACTATAATATAGTACAACATTATATTATACTATAATTAAGTACAATATCACTATAGTACAATATTATACTATATTATATTATATTATACTATAATATAATATTATACTATATTGTACTATATTATATTATATTATATTATATTATACTACAATATAATATTATATACAGTATAATATAGTAAAATATTGTTCTCTTCTGTTACATTTACAATTAGCTAAATTCTTACGTGACTATACTATTTTATACTATAGTATATATATATTATATATAATATATCATATTGTATTATGCTATATTGTACTATATTATACTATATATAGTATATTTATAAGATAATATAGTACAATATTAAATTATAGTATAATATAATATTATACTATATTATAGTATAGTGTAGTACAATATTGTGCTATATTTTGTGCTATGTTACATCATATTGTACTATATTATACTATGTTATATTATTCAAATGCACAAATTCTATTCTTCTTCCTCGACTTCGCGTAGGATCACCTCCCATTCGGTTGTACCACCCTGTACATTCTAATTACTTCCATCAACTCTTCTTCTTTTCTTTTTTCTTCTGTTTTCATCTCGGACGCATGACGCGCGAGATTCGACAATCAATCAACGTTATGTTACGTTACATCACTCCGTACTTAACGACACGGTATTGCGAACTGTTCCCCCTTGGTTAACGTTAGTAATCTTGCGGTTTCAGGTATGACGCGGCCCGAGTGATGTACGGAATGACGAACTGCGTGAGGTGTCGATGCGGCGACGATCTGTCGCTGGTTTCTGCGGACCAGTTCGGAAGTTACATCGAGATACCCGGCGGCAACGTGAGAGTGCCCCTTGGATACGTCGGGGTGCTTGCCCCCCTGTTACGAGATCTGCCGAGCTGTGCTCTCAAGTTGGTCAAAACCGAGTACATACAGGGTGATTCACGTAACATGCACGCCTGAAATAACTTTTCGAATTATTGCGTCTATATGAAACGTTGTTCAACAGAAAAGTTAATCTTGCGGTTTAGAGGAAGGTAAAATATGGCGTATCAATTTTTTTTCGAAATTTTCAAGGTCTATTTTTTTTTAAATTGCACCATATACATTTTTCATCGTAAGTTGGAAGAATATTAAATTCCAAGTAAAAAAGTATCAAATCACATTGGTCTTAAACCTGATGATTGAAGAGATATTTCACGGTAATTAAAAATCTACGGTCTTGTATGGTCATAGTTGAAAAAAAAAAAAAAAATCAAGATGATCTCGAAAATTTTGAAAAATTTCACAAAAAATTGATACACCATATATTTTGCCTTTCACAAAACCATACAACCTTTGTATTGAACGATTTTTCATTAGACGCACAATTTAAAATTTATCAGTAGTGCAAGTTTAGATGAATCACCCTGTATATTGCTGGCACAAGAAAATTCATTTTTGTCACAGAGACAAATTTGTTACATCATTACATTCTTTGCTGCCACAGTGACTTTTGCTTCTTTTTAACTATGTTTATTGATCAGTTCTTCCTCGGTAATTTCCGGATGTCGAGCTTAATATAGATCGTCAAAGAGGTGACTGATAGAATTCAAAATCCGTTGAATATTTGATGAGATGCGATCGTGTTGCACTTAGAATTATTAATCGTATTATTAGCAAACGATGTCTATTCCAACATTTATTTTATCAACTATGAAAACTAATCTATCTCAGCGACTTCTCCCACGACAAATTCTTGGAGTGTATTATGTATCTTTCTCACGAAATATTTTTGGAATATTTTAATGTGCCTTCACCTCTTGTTTCCATTTGAACTCTCAAATTATTCATTGCCTGTTAATCCGACAATTGCACTGCGGATTTTCATGCACTTTGAAATTCAATTGAAACAATTGAAGAAACTAGGAATTTAAGTAGAAAATTGTTTCTTCCATTGTGCCATTCTTCTTTGAATATTTTATACATTTTTGCATGTCAGGTGTATTTCCATAAATGCATAAAGAAAAAACTGCGATCCACTGATGTAATTCGCTTTTATCAGAATATTTAGAATGTACTGAAACATTTAGATACATCAAATCATGCTTTAGAATTTTAAGAAACATGAATAATTGAGCACCACATTTGATAAGAGTCAAACATCAAATTTTCAGTCGTTACCTTATTCTAATGCATACGTCCTGTTTTCTTAATTTAAAATAAAATTCATACATTAAGTTTCATGTATTTCCGTATACGAATCATTCGGGATAAACATTTGCAATTACCTACCTAAATTTATTTAAATTGCTACATTTAAGTAAATGGTATTTATTCTCTTCCTTCTGAAAAGTTTGACGTTGGACACTCGCAGTGTACTCTGGAAAAAAACTTATCTTCAATCGACCAAGTTTTATTTATTAATTCGACGATCAACCAAGTTTTAGTTATTATTTATACTCGACGAATTATTATTATTTATATTTGACGAATTATTATTATTTATATTTGACGAATTATTATTATTTATACTCGACGAATTATTATTATTTATATTTGATGAATTATTATTATTTATACTCGACGAATTATTATTATATACACCTGACGAATTATTATTATTTATATTTGACGAATTATTATTATTTATACTCGACGAATTATTATTATTTATATTTGACGAATTATTATTATTTATACTCGACCAATTATTATTATTCATACTCGACGAACTGTTATTATTTATACTCGACGAATTACTATTAGTTACATTCGACGAATTATTATTATTTATACTCGACGAAGTATTATTATTTATATTTGACAAATTATTATTTATACTCGACGAATTATTATTATTTATATTTGACAAATTATTATTTATACTCGACGAATTATTATTATTTATACTCGACGAATTATTATTATTCATATTTGACGAATTATTATTATTTACACTCGAGGAATTGTTACAAGTCGATGGAAGATAAATTTTATGAATTAACATTTGACGCTCCCACTTGACAGATACTGCAAGCCGGTCAGTTGCATTAGATGGGGCGCGATCAGCGACTCGTGCCCCCGAGCGGTGGTGAAGTGTTGCGACGGCGAAGAATTCCCAGCTGACTACGTGATCGTCACCGTGTCGCTTGGCGTTTTGAAACACCAGCACGACAAACTCTTTTGCCCGGCGTTGCCCGCGGAGAAGGTCGAGGCCATTTGCAAGTTGGGCTACGGATACGTGAACAAGGTGTTCCTGGAATACGCGAGGCCGTTCTGGGTGTGGAAAGAAGGGAGCATCAAACTGGCCTGGTCAGCCGACGAACTCGCTGACAGATGCGATTGGGTGAAAGGTACTACGTGCTACGACGAGTATCATTCTTGAAGAATGTTGAACGCACACTGTTGACCGGCAATTTAACGAAGCTCATCTCACGTCGTCGTCTAAACAGTCTAAATCAACTTCAAATTTAAACGATACTCTGCATATCTCTTGTATATATTATATTTTATTATAATATCTAGTATAATATATTTTTACATTATATTTATTATAATTAATATATATTTTAGTAATTTTTTTCTTTTTGGGATGTGATAAACAGTGAGCAGCAATCATGAAAGTGAAACAATCTAAATAAACTTCAATATACTTTATTTATTTTAAAATGAGTTCAAACAAAATGTTGCATATCACTTATGTATATTGTATTTTATACGTGTAATATATATATACATATTTCAGTAGTTTCTTTTTTTTGTGTGATAAATTGTATAGCAATCACGTACGTGTAACGATACACAATCTGGTTTTGCAAATTTGCCCGGTTCTGGAGGACTAACGTCCGATAAATTATCAATTTCCACGTCACTACGATATATATTTCAAAATCACTCAGTCAATCAGGCAAAGCATATGATTGAAATTTTTTGCAACGTTAAGAAACTTAAATATTAATAAAAGTAATTTTTTTTTTTTTTTACAATAAAGTGAACACGACGAAGAAAGATTTATATTACCCTGAGTGTCGAAAGTGAAAATAGCCGACGCAAGTGCAAACACGAGTTAACTCGTGAACCGGTCGACAATGTGTCCAAGTGAATGATTAATTGATACATTCGTGTACGTTAGGAATCCCGATGGTGGAAGAGTTGCCGAGCTCGCAGCATGTTTTGTGCGCGTGGGTTTGCGGACGGGAGGCAGCAGATATGGAACTGTGCAGCGACGAAGAGGTCGTGGAGTCGATAACGAGAGTTCTCCGACAGTTTACCGGCGATCCTACGCTTCCTTATCCGGCGAATCTTCTCAGAAGCAAATGGTGCATGGATCAATACTTCGCCGGTTCGTACAGCTACATGGGAATAGACAGTACTGTTGGTCATCAGTGTGACTTAGCTAGTCCGTTACCAGGTACAAATATTTTTTAAAATATATATTTCGTATATAGTATATACTGAATGTAGTGTAAATTATATTACAGTATAATATATACCGAATATAGTATAAATTATATTACAGTATAGTATATAGTAAATATAGTGTAATGTATATTATAGTATAGTATATACCAAATATAATATAAAGTACATTACAGTATAGTATATACTAAATATAGTATAAAGTATATTATAGTATGGTATATACCAAATACAGTATAAAGTATATTACAGTATATACTAAATACAGTATAAAGTATATTACAGCATAGTATATACTGAATATAGCATAAAATATATTTCAGTACAGTATATACCAAATATAGTATAAAGTATATTACAGTACAGTATATACTAAATATAATATAACGTATATTACAGCATAGTATATACCAAATATAGTATCAAGTATATTACAGTACAGTATATACTAAATATAGTATAGAGTATATTACAGTACTATATACCAAATATAATATAAAGTATATTACAGTATAGTATATATTAAATATAGTATAAAGTATATTACAGTACAGTATATACCAAACGTATATTACAGCATAGTATATACCAAATGTAGTATCAAGTATATTACAGTACAGTATATACTAAATATAGAGTATATTACAGTACTATAATATAAAGTATATTACAGTATAGTATATATTAAATATAGTATAAAGTATATTACAGTACAGTATATACCAAATATAGTATAAAGTATATTACAGTATAGTATATACTAAATATAGTATAAAGTATATTATAGTATAGCATATACTAAATATAGTATCAAGTATATTACAGTATAGCATATACTAAATATAGTATCAAGTATATTACAGTATAGTATATACCAAATATACTGTAAAGTATATTATAGTGGACTAAATATAGTATAAAGTATATTATGAGTTTCGAGTGTTTTCTGTTTTTGTTTGTTTTTTAGGCAGTTGCGAGCCTATACCGCCGATTCTTTTATTCGCCGGTGAAGCCACGATTCCAGGACATTACAGCACGGTACATGGTGCCAGACTGAGCGGCATTCGCGAGGCGGAAAGAGTAATTGAACTAACGAAACGATTCGGTGGTCCGCCAACTAAGACATCCGACAAGAGCTGAGCTCCTCTGTCCTATTATGCTACTGTGCTAATTCTGTGCAGGTATAAAAGAGAGATCAGCATATATGCGCGAACGTCCGTCATTTTGTCTAAAAGCTGAATTAATTTTCTGAGAGATGTACTCTGCCATTTTTTATTTACACTATATAATTATAAATAAAATGTAACTCTATTCATGTATTATATAATTATATTTTTTTGTTGTAGCATGTTTGTTTGCTGTACTCGTATACACCACAAACTGTTAATCGTAATAAAGAATGTTTTAGCATGTACAGCTAACGTTTCATTCAGTTTCTTTTTTTTTCTTTCTTTCATGGTAAAACTCTAATTTTACTGGCAAGGGGGAAATGTTGAATTTTTATTATTAGACTAAACACAGAAGATTCGAGAAATATGTATAGCTGCTCGTATTAATATTCGAACACTAATTATTTAAAACTGTTACAATTTCGTACAATAAAATTAGATTCACTTTAAAACTTCTGAGATGAATCTTTCACATCGTGAAGTTTCTTGAAAGTGTCATGTATTGTCGTAAAATACGTAAAAACATTGGAAAATTTCTGCAGTAGTCTTCACAATGACCTCCTAAAACTTGACGACTGATTTTCTTTTATTTCGTATCTTGATTATCAGATAATGAAAATGAAAATGTTACGATTTCGTCGTCTATCAATAATTATCAATTTTCGTCGTCTGAATTTAATACTTGAAATTCAATAAAAAATCATATATCAAGTTTTAGAAGAGGCTTTAATCTTTAAATCCATTATAGATTAGTTACAGAAACAAATTTTCAATATTTTTACGCACTATGATAATTTACGACATTTTCAAGAAAGTTTCTTTCACTTTTTACACGATGTGAAAACACTTCAAAGAATAAATGAACGCTTATGTTAGAATAAAATGAATAATATATCTCGAGAGTACAAGAGATGAGCTCAAGTTTATTATCCTACGATTTCATTTCATAAAAAATACGACAGCTGAAGCATTTAGTGTCCGAATGTTGACGCGAGTAACTGTACATACAAAGCAATCTCAAAACTTTAATTACGTTACATTCAATATATCGTTTATTCCACCGAAATTGTTATAACGACGACGTAACAACAGAGGCTTTCAACGTTTATGTATAGCATAATAAACACTCATGTATATGTTTATTACAACGAGTTGCTACATACATATTTCTTTTATTACTTTCCGTTGGTCCCGTTTAACAGCAATCCACGTTATTGCAGATCCGAGAAAACGTTCTTACATTTCACAAGCGGCAACAGTGACGTTCATTTATATTTCTGAAATTATACAATTCACATTACCATCTCCCTACTATTTTCGTCGCTATAAAATTTCCTTCGCGCATGGTTCAAAATATACTTGCTATGAAAAATTAGGTAGGCTTTCAGTCAACATCCGCCAATCATATTACATATGGCGTAAGTATGGTGTACAAAAGTAAACTTGATTTATGTGCGTTAAATCAACCAGTGCGTACGACAATAGTCTTTACAGCTTCTTCTTCTTATTCTTTTTTTTTTTTTTTTTTTT